GCTATGAATCGAATTGTTCACTTTTATTTTTAAATTTTTCATTTGGTATTTTGAAAACTCTTTAATAAAAACGTTTCAAATTCACAAAGTGAAAAACTGACAGAGTTAAGGGAGATGTAGACATGGGTGAGCTATCCAGCTTCAAGTTACTTGCCCTTTCAAGACATCTGGCAGTGTTCTTCCATGCTTGGCTCTTTGATTTGATACCATTTCCCTCATATATCTATCATGCCCATGTTCAGGAAAGACCCAAGCCATACTCCTTTCATTTGTTGGAAAATCTCTGTGGGTAATTTCCAAGTTTTGTTTGCACCCAGCATACTCTCAGTCAATCCCTCTATCCATATCAGAGCAAGCACACGCCACTCAATACAGCTAGCAAAAATATTGCCTGATATTTATTAATTAAACATCATTAAACAATAATGGGCAACAGTGGGACAAAAGCAGGGAGGGAGATGTGAATAACAGACAAGAATTTAGTTTATCAACAGCACAGAACTTTTCAGAGCCACTGGAAACATTACTGTGGGTAATTAGCACTGGCAGTCCCAAAGGGAGTGACCTTTGTTTATTCCATCTTTAAACCTCTTATGGACATAACAGCAGCAAAACAGAGATGGAAAGTAACACACCAGGTGATGATCCCTCCTCTATTCAGCACCATAAGGGGAACATTTTGGTGGATGGAGATGACGTATCCAACAGCATTAACCTAATTAATGATCCCTATGGAAATAATCTATACTGCCTATTGTTCTGAATAACTGACCTACACTTTTGGCCAAGCAGAGAGTCTTCTTATTGTTGCTAGTCACCCATGGAATAGAGACACTTACGAAGGGAAACCTGAAGAAAATAAGGCTCAACCAAGCCTCGATCCTTTAAGTTGCTATTATTATACTGCCTAATATATAATAAGGCTCTAGGATGCAACACAACCACAAAATCTCAAACCAGCCTTGCATAAAAGTCTAACAAAGGGTAGGTACACTGCAAAGGACACCTGGTTAACAACCTGTAAATATTGTTTGCTTGCTTTTGTACAAGTGTTCTAAGATAAACTTGAATATAAAAATTGCCTAGATGTTTTGACCTTCAAAAATATGGAAACGAGGCTGAAAAAAAAGATGGATTTATAATTTCAAAAATTGTCTGTTTCAGGCATCTTTCGGGAAATAACCTGAAACCATCTCAGCACGTCATTCAATGTGCATATCTGTCAGCTATTCCATATTCCATTAGATTGAAATTACATGCAGACTTATGGCATGAACAGCAGCTAATTTTAATCCTTCCTATCCACTCATCAGGTTTGTTTGTTTGTTTGTTTGTTTATTTATTTATTTATTTATTTTACTGCCTTAGATAATAGAGCATCTGAAAATTTAAAAGCTTTCATATTATTTTATGATTTTGAATTTGGCTTAATAAAATTACTGTCCAGATGTCGGTTATAGAACTTTTCTTGTAATCAACACAGTGAACTTAATTTTTAAATAAGTTTTAGTCTACCATCTAGCTACTCTTCAGGATGTGTCCTTCCACATGTCTTTTATAAACATAAGTTGAAGAAGTTACTCTAACTCAGGAAAAGCAAGTCAAAATTCATTAGAAAAATTGTCCTTTGTATTATGAATTTTTTCTCAGGGGGAACTGTTCGTGAACAGACTACCTTTCTGCACTAAGTCATAAAAAACATTCCAACTTCTCAAACATCTCTCATTTGCTTTCAAAAGGAAAAAGAAGTGAAGCAGCTTAAGAATGGTTTGACATGAAGTTTTAACAACATAAATCATGCTGGTTTGGAAAGAACACTGAAACTGCCTTTTTAATCTGAAAAGAATCATAATCACATAATTTTGAACAAGTATACCACATAATACTAGAAATAATGTAGGGTGTTTCTAAATTACATGTTAGAGAATTATAGTTCATCTTAAAAGTTTTTGAGTATCAAACTCAAAATATAAGATAGCTGTGAGAAAAGAAGTGATAGGCGAGAACAAAGTTGAGATCAAAAAGAAATAACTTTTTACATATTAGGCTACAGAATTTAGAAATGTGATTGATTTCTTAAATGCAAGGCAAAACAGTATCAGTGAAACAGATACAATTGCAGAATGAAGACAATCTGAATCACAAACATACTGTATTATCATGTAACAGACAGAAAATAATATCTTAACTCATGCTTTCAAATGTTAAATGGAACAAGATTGCTTAAACCTAACCCTGGATATTTGTTTAGAGCTTTCAACTACATAAACGGTAGGTACCTGAGTTTGAATGAAATCCACCTCCACCCCCAAAAAGAGGGAAGAAGTAAATTAGAAAAATCTCAGTTTGGAGCTTTTCCAGTTTGGAGAAAGATTTTCAGAATGTTGAAAGAAATCTCATCAGCTTTATTTATTTGTTAGTTCTGGCATCTGTTTCTCTGCAGGATTTCATCAGACTCCTGGGACATGCATTAACCTCTGCCTTTTTGTTTGTTTGTTTGTTTTAACACAACCATAGTGCCCCTGAACTGTGAGCTGTGAAACTTACAGTTCACAGTCTCAGAGGTGTGAATCCTTACGGAGGCAGATATATCCTAAGAACTAGAAAAAGACGCTCCATTACAGTTGAAAAGTTCAGGATGAAATGTGGGAAAGAAAAATGGGATGTCTCTTTTACTTGATGGCTGGGGAGAAAAATGGGTGTTCTCTACTTTCTGGATGCAGTGCTTCAAATCACTGTCAACAAATAAGCACATTTTTTGCACATGTGTGTGGCAAGGATGACAAACTAGACAAGTGTTTGAAACACCCAAAATGAGACTGTACCTTCTCCTTCAGCTTCCATTCCATAGAAACTCTCAAAAGCTGAATTTCTAAACACTAACAGAGAAAAACCCTGCAGCTATGCAGATAAATGCCTATTATGCAATTACTACATCTTATAGTTTAGATTCCACATGGAAATATTTCTGGCACTGCTATAATTCCTTTGGCCCTAGTTCAGAGTTTTGTGCACACACCCTGCTTTTGGGGTCCTGTCTAATTCAGCAGCCTCTCCCAATTAGAAACCAAAAGAAGTTTTGGAATTGCGCTGAACAGAAGGAAGACGGACAGTGAAGAATACGAACCACCCACCATCTTCTTTAAAGATTAGGATTTTGCTGGATTATAGCCATAATGTAGGGAAAAAAATCCACTGAAGTCATTGTGGCTAACTTCAAAGAATTGAAAAGAATGATAGTTTTAAACACTGCATCTGTGGAAAATATTAGGAACTAAAATATGTAAAGTGAATTAAATAGCTGGGCCACCCTAAGGCAGCAGCTGCATGAATGTATTGAATTACAGAAACTATAACCTAGAAATTTTAACGTCCTGTGAACATTATTAGGTTACAGCAAATGTTTAAGCTAAAAAACAACTGCATGGGATTTGTACATAGGAGCTGCTTCCGGTAGCAGGATTGAATTTGGGTAAAGGAACTTATTAATTAATAAGATACAAATATAAAATCTGTGGAACACAGATTTGTTTAGGAAGATCTTATCCTTTGACCTTGCTGTATTCATTTTCTTCTAGTCCTCCAAAACATATCCTTCAAAAACTATTTGTCATTCACTTCTGCTACTTTTGTTATTTTATGTATTTTAAAATACATAAAACAGTATCAGAATAACAAACCTAAATACTTATATTATTTTCCAGCCCTTACACTGAGTAATATGAAAAATGAACGTACATGTTCATAAACAAAGTCAGAATGATTTCAGGATATTTTGATACATAGCGCCACAAAAGGAATGAACTGGAATGGAGCTGGGGAACACAAGTGGCCAAGCTCTAACAGAAGGGCTAATAAAAGAACAGGAGGATGTGTAGTACTATGAATGGAAAAAATGTCCCACCACAAAATTCAGATGTGGAAAAATTTCAAAGGTTTCTGGATGTTCAGTTGCTTCTCTTGCTTCTTAATTGAGCTAGTCTTATATTATATATATCTCCTGCTCTACAATGCAATGAAATAATCCCATCACAAACATGGTTTTCCTGCTTTTTCTTTTTAATTAATTTACATGTTTTAAAATTTGTACTATTAATCCTGGCACCCGAGGGATAGAGGAGGAGGAGGACAAGAAACATCCACATTAGAGCAGGGATTGCCTTCTCATATGCCATAAGTACTGATAATTTACCTCCACAATCATGCCCTCAACTTTGTTGAATCATGTCAGGCCTCAGTTGGTCGTGAGCATAATTGGGCAATGGTGATGATTCTGGAATCATCAACTATAATGTTTTTTTTCCCTTTCCTGAGAATAAGATTCTCAGACACAGGGTCAGGATCAGAATGAGGATCAGTGTTGTTTCTCCACTCAGAGAAAAGTTAAGTAGCGGATTATCCAACATGGTAGCTTATTGTTTCAAGGTATGCGTCACCCCTTCTTATTTCATTTCACAGAGTTTGACAGTCACAGCGGCTGCTCTGTTCCAACATACAACTGTAAAATTATGGCTGACTTAGAGAAAATATGAAAAAAGCATCCCCACAGAAACGTCTACAGTATGGTTGGAAATCCTAGCCAGAACAGTATAAATAAATCAAGTAACTCCGCTGACTGATAAATGGACCACTGATGACAAGTTAAGAAACTGCAGATTCTTGTACACGTTAAAAGAACCCAATGTTCAAAAGTCCTGCTAAGCTCTCGAGACTCAGTTAAAAACAAAACATACCACTGAAGGAGAAAAAAGGAAGACATCAGGACAATTCATTGATCCATTAAAACCAATGACTAAGAGACCAAGCAAAATGGAGAGCCCTAAATTCCAGTCAAAGGAAAATACTTTTTTTCATATAGTTAGATTCTGTTTCCCATGGATGGATCCTTAAAGTATCTTTTCTTGGCCAAAAAGCATGAACCAAGTCAATACTCAGCTTTAGTAGTTGAATAATATGAATATCATGGTGCAATGAAAAAAACCCCTGCATTTTATTTTTACCTTGTGATCATATGGATTGTATGAATGAAACAGTTTGGATAGCTCTTTTGTTCTTTGTTTCTTCTGTAGGGAAAGAAGAAAAATATGATTTTTAAAGAAAATTAGACATACAGAAATAATACATTTTAATCAGTACTCAGTAAATAACAATGGGTACAATTTTGCAAAGAAAAAAAGCCCTATTCCCTTAAAAAATAGTTTTCTTCATTTAAGGAGAAAACTAAAATGACTAGCAAGCAATGTAAACATATACTGGTATGCAAGAATTTTCAGTACATTCCCCAGTTTGTCACTGTTGCATACATTTTTGCTCAGTGGAAAGGACAAAAACAGCAGCTCTCCCCACCGTTCTTTTGTGCAGGCACTGGGAAGACTGAGGTTCTATTCCAGTGTTTCTCAACCTAGACAACTTTAAGATTTGTGGACTTCAACTCCCAGAATTCCCCCTGCTGGCTGGGGAAATCTGGGAGCTGAAGTCCACACATCTTAAAGTTGCCAAGGTTGAGAAATGCTGCTCTATTCCATTTTCAGTCACAGAAGGTCACTAGATACCTTGGGCCAATCATTCTCTCTCAGTCAGAACTACCTTATAGGTTTATAATTGTGGGGAAAAACAGGAGGAGAGACCATTCTCTGCACTGCCCTGACTTCATGAACAAAAGGCAAGATAGAAACCTAATAAATAAATGCTTCTAGATCGCCTGGTAGGTCATAGGCAACTCATATATTATTAATCAAGCCAATTCTAAATTTTAAATTACCCTCAACAACATTATTGACAAAATTATTCACAGTAAAATAATACATTGTAGTTATTTTTATAGTAATTTTATTAAAAATTATAATTACAACAATAAAAACTAATGCAACTAAAAAAAAAGAATAAAAAGAAAAAATAGAAGGTGCAGAACAGAAAAAATAGAAAAATAGAAAAGAAATAAAAAGTAAGAACATAGTAAAGAAAAAGAAAAGAAATATATAAAGAAATAACTTCCTCTTTTATCACAAGTATAAACAATTTTAGTAACTTATCACCTTCTCTTAAAATACAACAAATGATCTCTTCTTCCCATACCCCATCTCTTACCTTCTCTTAAAATACAACAAATGATCTCTTCTTCCCATACCCCATCTCTTACCTTCTCTTAAAATACAACAAATGATCTCTTCTTCCCATACCCCATCTCTTATCTATAAACAAATCCTTAAAGCCTTGTTGTTTCAGTCCTAATCAGCAAAAGTCCATTAAGGGTTACCAGAGATAACAACATATTTATTTTAACCTTGATCAAATAAACCAACTTTTCTGCACCTTCTATTTTTTCTTTTTATTCTTTTTTTTTAGTTTCTGCACCTTCTATTTTTTCTTTTTATTCTTTTTTTTTAGTTGCTTCTAACAATCTTGATCTTTAGTCCCTTCAAATAATGTCCTAGAACTTGATTTCTTTTCATTTTTTCTTTGTCCCTTCTCACAAATTTCTTCAAAGCATTAACAAGCCTCTTTTCTAAATCCAATATAGGAAAATTATCCATGTCACTCTCTTGGTTTGTTGTTTGTACATCCCTTTTAATTATTAAGACACTAGCCGGCTTCTTTTATATGTCCCATGTAACATCTTTTTCCATGTCATTCTTGTAGCCTGTCATTTTAAAATCCACTTTCAAATCAGTCTCAATCTTGTCAGGTAAAACTTGTTCCTCTTCCATAACATCTTTTAAACACATCTATATGTTTGCCTATCTATAAAGGCAAACACTTGTAAAATTAACTTCTGGGTCCATTGTTCAAACATATCCTTCATATGTCCAATGTTAAAATGTTTTGCTTCATTCTGTATTTGTAAGTTGAGTTTGAGTGTTCTGCTCCTTTAATTGTAGTTTTTAGTTCCTTCTAGTTCCCTCTAGTGTCCAATTATTAAAGTCTTACCTTATTCTGTTTTTTAAAAAAGAATGAAAAACAACAGCATTTTTCCACAGGAAGGATTCTTTATAATTAATTCCAAAATCCTATTTCAAATTTATCTGGGCTCTTAGTTCATTTGTAACTTTCTAAAATCAAAGTTTCAATCACCCTTTAGCTGTTTATTCCCTCCCCCCCCCCCCCCCCCT